ACTCTAGGGTCCAACTCCAAGTCATCAACTGGGTTGTGTTGGCTGGTGTCTCCGATGACATTGACATATTGGGTAGGTCTCGGCGTCGGTTGAACTCTCAAACTGGCAAAGTAACATTCTCGAGCCGTTTTCTGATCCGCGTGGAGGGTAATGATCGTTCCCTCCTCCGAGGGGAACTTCATGGCTAAGTGAGGTGTGGAAACGATGGCCCGGAATTTATTCAAAGATGGTCGGCCTAACAAGATGTTGTATGAAGTGTTGGCGTGCACAACCACGTATCGAATTTTGATTCTTCGCCTCTGCTGGTCGTCGCCAAAGTAGGTGTACAGATCGATTGTTCCCCTGGTGTCCACCCGTTCTCCAGAAAATCCGACCAAGGGCTCACCATAGGGTATTAACTCTTGTTCGGGAATGCCGAGCTGTTCAAATGTCTTCCAATATAAGATATCCGCCGAGCTTCCTTGATCGACAAGCGTCTTCTTTACCACGCAATTGTTGATTTCGACACTGATGACCATTGGATCATCCTATACCGGGTCTACCCCTTTGAAGTCTCGATCGGTAAATGTGATAGGAGGCATATGAATGGTTGCCCTCCCTACGGCATTTACCGACTTGATTGCTCTTAAGTGCCTCCTTTGGGCCGAGGATGTGCTTCCTCCTCTCGCGAATCCTCTGGCAATTGTATTTATCACCCTCCTGGGTTGATTTCGTTCAGGCTGCCGGTCATTTCTTTAAGGGGTCCTGCTTCTCTCCCTAGATCGATGCCTCAGGGGTGCTCTTTCACTGTTTCCTCTCCTCTCCTGAGAGTTGTCATATCTCCTCCTTCCCGATGGTTGGGTGAAGTTTTGGAGATGGCCAGACTTGACAAGATCCTCAATGCGGTCTCGGAGAGCCGTGCATTCCTCGGTGGTGTGTCCTCTGTTCTTGTGGAAGTGGCATGCCTTGGTTTTATTCGCGTGGGGCGGAGTCATAACTCGACGGGGAACCGCTAGTATTTCTGTGGCCAGCGCCTGCTCCAACACCTTGGTCCTACTGGCGTTGAGCGGCGTATACTGCGTGTAACGGGGTTGGCTCTTTCCCTGTCGGGCATGTCCCTCGGACGAGGCCTTGAGTTGTGTTCTTTTTCGGCTTCTTTCCTTCTTGGAAAAGGGTCGGACCGGTTTTGGTTTCGGAACTCGGTCAATTCTTCCATTTGCATGTACTTCGTGGCTCTTTGCCGAAGCTCATCCAAGTCTCTAGGCGGTTTCTTGCATAAACTGTTCACGAAAGGGCCCGGCCGCAGTGCTGTGGTGAGATGGTGCATGGCCACTGCGGGGTCTAGATTTTGAATGGACAAAGTCATTTTCCCGAACCTTTCCATGAATGCTCTAAGGGGCTCCTTCTTCTCTTGGCGGATATTAACCAACGCGATTGAGGTAAGTTGGTGCGGGCGACTTGTGGCGAACTGTATCGTGAAACGGGATGACAGAGTGGTGAATGAATCGATCGATCCCGGCGGGAGCCTTGTGAACCAGTTGAGCGCCGGTCCTTTCAGCGAGGTAGGGAAGACCTTGCACATGACGGCATCATCGTCTGTATATAGACCGACTTGGGTGACGAATGCATCAACGTGTTCTTCGGGATCGGCGGTTCCGTCATACTTTTCCAAGGTCAAGCTCTTCCAATTGTCGGGTAATCGCGCTCCGGCGATGTCTGGGACGAAAGGAGACCTCCCCTGTCGTTGTTGCTGATCGAGGGAAGTGGTTATCACTCCCGTTGTAGGCTTAGGGTCCGTAGGCTCCTTGTACCATCCGGATGACTCTCCTAGATCTCGCGTTGATTGAGTATTAGGAATATCATGGGACGGGCACCATGATCGGTTGTCGCTTCTGAGCTCAGCATTCTCCTTCCTCAAGACCGATAGTTCGTGGGCATCTTTCTCTCGGAGTCTTCTAAGCTCCATCATTTCGGCCTTTAATTGCTCTATTGCCGACGAAGGGTTAGGTTGTTGGGATCGCACCACATATGACTCCTCCATTCCTTCCTCGTTTTGGTTAGTCTGTCGTACTGGATTGTCTCGGGGCATCCCGTAAGGATGTTCGGTGGCTGCGTTCTCCTGCTGACTTCTTGTAAGTACCATCTTGCTTCGGGGTCGAGAACCGTTCTAGTTTCGGCCCCACGGTGGGCGCCAAAATGTTCCTGCGTAAGAACACTCCTCTCCTTGATCCTTCCTAACTGACTCCAAGTCCTTCTGAATCTTCCGTGCTGACCGAACACTAGCTCCGAGTGGTGGGGGAGGGTACCTGCAAAGGCACTCCGACGATCAAGTTAGTGTTCGGTTCAGAGCAATAAATGCATTAGAGGGAATAATAATGTACCTCTTTATGTCACATCACCTGTGTATTTATAGTGATATGTGTGGGCCTGGTGGGCCTTCATTCTTGGGAAGTGGGTAACACATGGGTTAACCTTAATCCTTTCTTAATCTGGAACCATAATTAATGTCTAATAGGTATCTGATTTGCCACGTGTTTCTCATGGGCTTTCTTTGGATCTTCGGCTAAGCACAAGGCCGAAGAGGTGTTCGGCCTAGCTTGAGACCGAAAGGGTGTTCGGCCTAACTAGAGACCAAAAGGGTGTTCGGCCTAACTAGGGGCTGAGAGGGTGTTCGGCCTAGCTAGGGGCCGAGAGGGTATTCGGCCTAGCTAGGGGCTGAGAGGGTGTTCGGCCTAGCTAGGGGCCGAGAGGGTATTCGGCTATACTTTTATCGGGGAGTTTCTTGAGCGACTTGATCCCTTCTTTGGGTCTTTGACTAGGCATGAGGCCGAAGGGGTGCTCGGCCTGGCTCGGGGCCGAGGGGGTAGTCGGCCTGGCTCCTTGCCGAAGGAATGACGTGCTTCATCGGCCAGGGCGCCCCTTTCGGCCTATTGTTTGACCGAAGGGGTGTCAGCTGGTGCAGTTCCTCGGTTCGGGCACCCCCTTCGGCCTATTGTCTGACCGAAGGGGTATCAACTGGTGCATTTCGTTAGTTTGGGCATCCCTTTCGGCCTATTGCATGACCGAAGGGGTGCTTACTAGTACACATATCATTTTTTTTAAAATTTTTAATTAAATTTAACCAATAAAAAAAAACTAATAGAAAATCCTAATTTGCACGCTAAAAATTAAAGCACACACTATACTGAATGAAGGTTATTATATCTCTTGTGTGGGATGTTTCTTCTAAACTTTTCATATCGATGTTATGTGTTCACGAGCAACATATATAATACCAGCGTGCATAACTTGCAAGATTATTATTACCATGTTTCATATTCTAGTGAAAGAAGATGATCCTATACATATTGTTATTTTTTAGTAATGAATTTAAAGAAAAGAAAAGAATATTATTTTAACATATAATGTTCAAATAAGCATCTTTTCCCAGAAAATGAGGAATGTATCCAAAAAGAATAGAAGTCTGTTTAGATATAAATTGAAAGTATTTTTATTTTTTTTTACTAAAAATAAAAAAAAAAATTTAATAAAAAAACTCTTAAAGATATTTTTTTAGACTTATATCTTAATAAGTTTCAATTGCAAAATTTAAGCAGCTAACAAGTATAAGCCGATTTCAATATTTACTTCTTTTTTTTTTATTGTGTTTCTTTTAAATACATAGTACTTACATGTTTATTTTCGCTCTCTGATAAATATATTTTTATGTGCAGATTATTACTAAATCATGTCTATGATTTAGATGATATTGTTTTCTAATTAATGTAAAAAAAAATTTACTTAAGCGTCATCTTTTACATGAATTTAATTTTTTAAAACAATACATCTACCTCATCACGTACAAGCAAAAGTATGTTTTAATTATAATTTTATTTCACTCAGAAAACATCTTTTTTCTAATACGTTATTTATTTATTTATTGTTGTATACTTTAACGAAATGCTACTATACATGACTTTTAATTACAAATATTTAAATTCCATATAGTTTCTATTGTTATTGATAGTCGAGCATTGCACGGGTGCATATAATGTTACTAATCTGAATATATAAATCCCAAACATATCACATGCGAGTCACATAAATATATGTTATCCAGTAGTGATGTCAAGTAATCTTTCCAAACTATAAGATTTTTTTTTATTTATTGAATAAAAAAGTAGCTACATCGTTTAATTTTACTATCCTTTTTTAAAACATTTTTTCTTAATATAGCGCTAATTAAAACTTAGTATCAAAATTTAAAAAAATAATTGAAAATAAAATCCTAATTAAACGAAATACATTTTAGAAAGAGTTTCATTAAATAAGATAAAATTGATTAAAATTTACTTGTATTTTAAACATTTTTTTTTCTTATACTTCAGTTAAACTCCTTTAAAATAAAAAAGCAACATTATTTCATTTTCAACAACTTGTTTACATAGCATTGACAAATCAGAAGAACATGCACTAGAAAACTATAATCACAACCAACACCGACAAGAAACAAATATGATAATTGCATGAGTGATTGTTAGACTGTGAGAATTTTCTTGATTTTTTGAATACAAAATCTGTTGTACTGTGCTTATTTTGACAGCAATTTGTTTTAGGTGAAAAGTAGGTGATTAGGAGTATGTTTTTGGTAAATATGCAGTAGGTAAAAGTGGGTAGTACAACTAAGTCAACAATGTATGCATTTTTTTGTATACTAAGCTTGTAACATCAGAAATTGATGTATTGTATCTTGTATATATGAAGAAAAACGTGAATGAAAAACTGATTGCCCACTAAGAACTTGTCTTACTCTGTTTTTGCTCTCTACTCTTCCTATCATTCTGTTTTCATTTTTCATCATGGTATCGAGAGCTTCATTGATCTTTTAGGGTCTGTGAGGGAGAAAGAAAGAGAAAATCTGAAAAACAGAGTTTCTGTGTGTGAGAGAAAACTAGTAAGAAACCCACTCAAAAAACCTTCAACTAATGGCTTCCGGTAGCAATTCTTTGCCTCCACCTCCGGTATTTGCTGGAGAAAATTATGATTTGTGGGCTGCAAAGATGAGAACCTATCTTAGAGCTCAAAGTTTGTGGGAAGTGGTGGAAAATGGAAGAAACCCAGCTCCTTTACCAGACAACCCAACAATGGCTCAGGTAAGATTTCATAGTGATGAAGTAGCTAAAGAAGGCAGAGCACTTGCCATCATACAAGCAGCTGTTCATGATGATGTTTTTATCAAGATTTTGAATCTTGATACAGCAAAAGAGGCTTGGGACAAACTCAAGGAAGAGTTCCAAGGTAGTGAAAGAATAAGGAGGATGAAGGTGCTAAATTTGATAAGAGAATTTGAAGCCATCAAAATGAAGGAAGCTGAAACAGTGAAGGAGTTTGCTGACAGGCTTTCTAAAGTGGTTACACAAATCAGATTATTGGGTGAAGAACTCAGTGATCAACAAGTTGTGGAGAAAATATTGGTATGTCTTCCGGAGAGGTTTGAGTCAAAAATCTCCTCTCTCGAAGAAAATAAGGATTTTTCTCATATATCAATTTCAGAACTTGTAAATGCTTTACAAGCCACTAAACATAGAAGATCCTTGAGGATGGAAGAAAATGTTGAAGGTGTTTTTGTGGTTAATACCAAAGGTAAGTTTCAAGGCAGCAGTAGTTGTGGGAAAAAGCCATTAGTGGGAAGAAAGGAAAAGAAAAAAAACAAGAAGAAAGCAACAGAGGAGGAGGTTGGAAAGACAAGTATCCACCTTGCTCTTACTGTAAGAAGAAGAATGATACAGAAAATTTCTGTTGGTTTAGACCAGGAGTCAAATGCAGGGCATGCAACCAACTTGGTCATGTGGAGAAAGTGTGCAAAAGCAAAGCAAAACAACAGGGACAGCAAGCCCAAGTTGTTGAGCATGAAGAACAAAATAAGGAGCATTTATTTGTTGCTTCTTGTTATTTAGCAAACAGGAGCAAGGAGGAGTGGCTTATAGACAGTGGTTGCACAAATCACATGACAAATGATGCAAGTATTTTCAAGGAATTGGATCATTCTCACTTCTCAAAAGTCACTATTGGCAATGAAGAAAGTGTTGAAGTTAAAGGCAAAGGAGTTATTGCTGTAGAAACCTCTTCAGGTACTAAATATATTTCAGATGTTTTATAAGTGCCTGAGATAAATCAAAATCTTCTAAGTGTGGGACAAATGCTTGAAAAGAATTATACTTTGCATTTTGAAGACATGAAATGCACCATATTTGATCCTTCTGGGTGTGAGCTAATGTCTATCAAAATGAGAGATAAGAGTTTTCCAATAGAATGGAAGCAACCTGCTATGCATGCTTTTCCAAGTTCATTAGATGATTCTATTTTATGGCACAAAAGACTTGGTCATTTTAGTTACTCCACCTTGAAGAAAATCAGCTCAAATGGCTTAATTCAAAACTTACCTTCCATAGAAGATGATGTTGATGTTTGTGATGTATGTCAATTTGGAAAACAATGTAGATTGCCATTCCCTGGAGTAGCAAGTTAGAGAGCTATGGAAAAATTACAGCTTATCCATACTGATGTGTGTGGTCCAATGAGCACAACATCTTTAAACGAAAGCAAATATTTTTTGCTATTTATAGATGATTTTACAAGAATGAGTTGGGTGTTTTTTCTAAAACAAAAATCAGATGTGTTTGCTGCATTTCAAAAGTTTAAGATTTTGGTTGAAAATGAAGCTGGCTGTCAAATTAAAAAAACTCAGATCTGACAATGGAACTGAGTATACAGCAGGGGAATTTAAAAATTTTTGTGATCAAGTTGGAATACAACATCAGTTCATCATTCCTTACACTCCTCAACAAAATGGAGTGAGTGAAAGAAAGAACAGAACAGTGATGGAGATGGCTTGGTGTTTGCTTTTTGAGAAAGGTCTTCCAAAAACTTTTTGGGCTGAGGCGGTAAATACCTTAGTTTACTTGCTGAATTTATTGCCTACCAAAGCATTGAAGGGTAAAACTCCCTATGAAGCATGGTGTGGAAGGAACTCTTCAGTGGAGCATTTAAAAATATTTGGTTGTGTGTGTTACACGCATGTTCCAAATGTGAAAAGAGATAAACTTGATCATAAGTGTGAAGTTGGTATTTTTTTGGGATACAGTATCAACTCCAAAGGATACCGAGTATACAACTTGGAGACAAAAAAAAATATTGTTAGCAGAGATATAAAATTTGATGAGTTATCAAAATGGAATTGGAAGAAACATCAAGCTGAAGGCTCAAGTAAAGGGTTGTTTGATGAAGACACTTTGCAAGAGCAAGATTCTGAAGATAATGAAGAGAACTATGATAGTGACACTGAATTTCCAGTGAGAGGTACAAGAACCTTGGAGGATATTTATGCAAGATGTAATGTTGCTGCATTAGAGCCGACAAGGTATGAAGAGGCTGCTGAGTTTGAAAGCTGGAGAGCTGCCATGAAGGAGGAGATAAAGATGATTGAGAAAAATAAAACTTGGCAACTTGTTGATAGGCCAAGTAATAAAAAAGTGATTGGTGTTAAGTGGGTTTACAGAACTAAACTCAATCCTGATGGTTCTGTAAACAAACTTAAGGCTAGATTGGTGGTAAAAGGTTACTTCCAACAGTATGGAGTTGATTTCTCTGATACGTTTGCACCTGTTGCAAGACATGATACAATCAGATTACTGATCTCTTTGGCAGCAAAACTTGGCTGGAAAATTTATCATTTTGATGTAAAATCAGCTTTTCTAAATGGATTGCTTGGTGAAGATATATATGTTGATCAACCTGAAGGTTTTCAGGTTCCAGGAGGTGAAGATAAAGTTTATAAGCTTCATAAAGCTCTTTATGGCTTAAAACAGGCACCAAGAGCCTGGTATAGCAGAATTGATAGTTATCTTTTGCAAAAAGAATTTAAAAGAAGTGAAAATGAAGCCACCTTGTATGTGAAGAAGTCAAACAATGAAGTGCAACTCATTGTGTCTTTGTATGTTGATGATTTATTGGTTATAGGAAATGAATCAAATTCCTTAAACCAATTTAAGAAGGACATGGAGAAAGAATTTGAAATGACTAACTTGGGTGAAATGAAATACTTTCTTGGAATGGAGATTTCTCAGCAAAATGATGGAATATTCATTTCACAAAGAAAATATGCTTTGGAGATATTGAAGAAGTTTCACATGGAGAAATGCAAGTCTATTGCTACTCCACTAGTTGCAAATGAAAAATTTTCAAAGAATGATGGTGAAAATAATGCAGATGCTTCTGTTTATAGAAATATAATTGGAAGTTTGTTGTATCTTTCAGCAACCAGACCAGATTTAATGTTTGCTGCAAGTTTGCTTTCCAGATTCATGCATTCTCCAAGTCAAGTTCACTTTGGTGCAGCAAAAAGAGTTTTGAGATATATAAGAGGTACAATTGATTATGGTTTGTATTTCTTAAAAAATGAAAGTGGAGAACTTCAAGGATATGCAGATAGTGATTGGGCAGGAAGTATTGATGATTCTAAAAGCACCTCTGGATATGTGTTTTCATTTGGCAGTGCTGTTTTTTTTTGGAATTCAAAGAAACAAGATGTTGTGGCTCAATCTTTAGCTGAAGCTGAGTATATTTCAGCGGCAGCTGCTGCAAATCAGGCTATTTGGCTGAGAAAGATTTTATTAGATGTGGGTCAGATTCAAGATGAAGCTACTATCATTTGGGTGGATAACAAATCTGCTATTTCTATTGCTAAAAATCCTATCCAACATGGAAGAACAAAGCACATTAATGTGAAGTTTCATGCTATTAGAGAAGCAGAGAAATCAAAAGAAATCAGATTGGAGCATTGCTGCTCTGAGGAACAGATTGCAGATATCATGACCAAAGCCCTCTCCAAGGGTCAATTTGAAATACTAAGATCAAGACTTGGAGTGCTCAAGAAAAATCTCAAGGAGGAGTGTTAGACTTTGAGAATTTTCTTGATTTTTTGAATACAAAATCTGTTGTACTGTGCTTGTTTTGTCAACAATCTGTTTTAGGTGAAAAGTAGGTGATTAGGAGTATGTTTTTGGTAAATATGTAGTAGGTAAAAGTGGGTAGTACAACTAAGTCAACAATGTATGCATTTTTTTTGTATACTAAGCTTGTAACATCAGAAGTTGTTGTATTGTATCTTGTATATATGAAGAAAAACGTGAATGAAAAACTAATTACCCACTAAGAACTTGTCTTGTCTGTTTTTACTCTCTACTCTTCCTATCATTCTGTTTTCATTTTTCATTAGTGGTATACCTTATTGAACTGAACAAGATAAGGATAACAAGGCTATTGTTCTTGCCTTCGTCTTCTCTGCTGCTCTTAGTTTCTTTCAAGTCCGAACTTGCGTTTCACACGTGCCAAATTAACAGCAATCAAAACCAGAAGCTTATCTCTCATGTCAAACGCAAAGTTGAAATATGCATGTCTCCACGACCTCTTCAACATCAAGCTGCCACAGACCAACCAGAAGCCTGTGATGTACCCAAAGGCTATGCTTCCATATAACCACAACCCTTCAATTTTCTCATCAGCTCCATCTTCATGTTTTCCTCCTTTCTCTTCATTCCCAGGCAACGCTGATGAACAATTAGTTGGCAACGGTTTCCCACAAAGTTTAGGATTTCCTTCATAAGATGATGGATCATTAAATGTGTCGAACTGGTTACCAACTGGAATTTGTCCAGACAGGTTATTGTATGACAAGTTCAAATTGCTCAAGAAAGTCATGGAAGCCATGCTTGCAGGGATTGGACCCGAAAGATGGTTGTGTGAAAGATCTAGACTTTCTAAATCTTCTAGCGATCCAATGTTGTTCGGTATGTTTCCCGTTAGTCTGTTCCAAGACAAATTCAGGATACCCAAGTGAATTAGCTCTGTTAACTTCTCTGGTATCTTTCCACAAGATCATTATTAGAAAGATCAGTGGTGGAATGCACAAACATTCCATTCTCGTATTCAGTTATTTTTCCTTTAACCATCAAGTCTACATGTGTCGTGTACAATAAGAAGTTATTCATCTCTCCATAAGTTAAATAAGTTTGTGGCAATTTGAAACCGTCGACATCACCCAAACATGTTGGTATAGATCCTGATAGGTTGTTTTCTGCCAAATCCAACAAATTGAGAAAATGAAGACCACATATCTCTTCAGGAATGCTTCCTGCCAGTGTGTTACCTCTTAACAGTAAATATTCGAGTAAAGGAAGACAAATCTGCTGAGAGATTATTGTTGCTCAATTCTAGCAAAACAAGAGAAGGCGCAGAACATATTGAAGCTGGAATTCCACCTGACAAACTGTTGTTGGATAGATCAATGATGCTTAATTCTCCCATACCTATCCAAAACATGGGGATAGTACCTGTCAAATAATTGTTAGATAAAGCAAGATATGACAAATTTTGAATCCTATTTATTGATAGTGGAATGCTCCCATAAATGTGGTTATTTGAGATATCCAAGAATGTCAACTGCGACATTTCTTCGCTTATATTGGTTGGCAATGTTCCGGAAAACAAGTTGTTGCTTAGATCGAGAGCATCGACACCAGACCACCAAAGTGGGATTGAGCCATTCAACTGATTGAAAGCAAGGCTAATACTAGCTGAATTCGAGAAATTACATATTTTGGGAAGGTAGCCATTTAATTTGTTGTGAGAAAGATCTAGCTCCCAAATTTGGGAGGACATGTTGTAAAACCAATGGGGTATCTCTCCAGAAATTCCAACATTTTTTAGGAATACAGTATCCAAGAGCGTCAGGTTTCTGAGCCAGCTAGGAAATGTTGGGCCAAGTTGACAATCACAAATGTCCACATCACTCAAATGCTTAAAAGGAGGAATCCATTCTCGCGCTTTAAAGGCAAATGTGTTTGCTTTGGATGATATAGAGAAACTAACTAGGTTTGTGAGATTATGGAAATGAGTAACTGTCATTGTGCCTTCCCAGTTGTTCTGGTATAGATTAAGATACCACAATTTGGTTAGTTGACCAATACTTTCTGGAATT